AAGGGAAAGCGGCAATACACAGTTTCTTCCCACACCCAGGGGTCAGGGGGAGCTGGACTGAGAGAAACTATGGAGATGGCGTCTGTGGGAGGTGACTAGAAGATGTAATCAGACTACTGCTATGGAAGGAGCAAAGTGCTGTAATCGATAGGTGCAGCCTGCAGCTCCCCAGGATAGAAGGTGCATGATAATGAGCCATGGCCTCAGCAGATGAGGAAGGCCTGTGCCGTTAACGAGGTTACGCCTGCAGGCGACTTCGTTATTCTATTAATATAGAAGCTCTGGCAATGTGTGGTTGGATGGAGGCTGGAATGATAGCTGCAGTAACTGATTGCTTCCTGCAGCCAGTCTGACAGGGACTACAGGCACTAAGCAGTACCAGTAAATCAGAGGTGGAGAGCCAGGACGAACATAGGACCAAAATAAGAGTCAGGACTGATGTGAGCTGAATGTGCAACACTTTGTTTTATACAGTGGGCTGGGAAGGTCCTGCTCCAGACTGTTGCATTGGCAGCAGTCAGTAAATGGAGCTGAAATGTTTGAGATCTGTCCAAGGCTGCAGAAGGGGACTACAGACACAACTTTCCACATCTATTACAGGGAATGGAACCTATTCCTCCCCCTTGTCTCCATTAATCCCAGCTGCAAACACATAGCTCATGTCTCCTGCACATCTCCTTTCAAGAATTTCACGTGCTTGCTGACTTTCCTGGAAGTGGTACTAGTTGGGATGCACTTCTCAGACATGAGGCCTCCCCATGTGCCCTGCCATGGCTTTGTGTGGCAGCTTATGTATCATGTCTTTGGCCTTAACTCAGGAGACACAGGAGGGGGAAGGAGCTAATACTCCTTTGTGAAGGAAGTTCAGGCCCTGCTGCAGTGTAGGAATGGAGTGTGTTATGGAGAAGGCTTATCTTGATAGCTTTTTTTACTTATTAGGACAGTAGAGACCACTGACATGGTAAACACTATTAGTTTGGCTAAAAGCCAGTGAACTGTATTCAGGGGCACCTAAGCCATGTCTCCCAGTAACCAGAAAAGTAATGGCTCCTTTCATGAATGCCATGTGCTGCAGACAGATGGTATTACTGATAGTAAAGGATATGTAGACCTAGAGCTGGGACTAGACCCTTTGGCTCCAAAACTACAGGTCTCCCTTGCTTCAGCAAATGGAGAGCTTCCATGGATGATATTCAGAGAAAGGCCAGCATCCCTTGCTCCTATGCACAAAGACAGCATGCTGCATTTGGATCTTATCCTTGAGACTGGTGAGTTGGAAATAACTAGTGCGGGGTCCTTTCCATATGCTTCAGGCAGGCCCTTGAAGCCAGAAGAGGGCTTGGTTTAGACTGAGTCTGCGCTTGGGAACAGAATCGAGCTATTTCTGTAGTTAAACATGAGGGGAGCTTCCCGGGTTGTAGCACAGATTTCAGCTCTTGTGCACAGAGACTCTTTTCTTCTGAGAAGCATGCACTCAACCAGGGCTGTCCAACTGGTGACCTACAGGCTGCATGCAGGCTGCAAGGGGTTAGTTTGCGGTCATGGGGTTCCCACTTAGCCCTAATCAGCCCAGCTGCAATAGGAGCCAGGGTCTGGGTTGAATCATCTCTGCTGCTGGGAATTGTCTTGATGTGGCTACATGAGGTTCCCACTGGACAGCAGTGCTCCCACCTCCCTTCTCTCTGCTGATCAGAAGAATCTCTGGTTTTCCAGGAGGCTCTGTGCCTTGAGGTTTTCCCCAGCCAGCGGGGGATGGAGGGGCTGCTGCAGGAAGTTTATTGCAGTTTCCTGTCTTGTCTGAGCTCTTGTTCTCTCTGAGGTGATGGACCAAAGCTGCTCATATTCAAATGTGCTGCTCTTTGTGTTCGTGTCTGGGCATCCCAGCAACAAAGTGAAATTGCAGCCCCCTTCACCCTTCTTATCCAGACAGATCCAGGCAGTGAAAGGAGACAGAGGAGGATGAGTTACATTAATACCTTTAGCAGATGTCAATGGAAAAGGCAGCTGTTCTCTTCCCCTACGCTCTCGCTGCCTGGGGGTGCTGGTTGCCCTCCAAGAAAAGCTGATGGAGGTACATTCACCACAGCAGTTCTGGATCTCCCTCTCCCCTGCCCCACTACACTGAGCTCAATAAACTGAGCTGCCTCCCAAGTAGCAGGGCAGCTGGTGGTTGCAGGCGGACTGGTGGTGTGCAGGGCTCTGCCTTCCAGCATGGTCCAGTCTGCAGAGCCTAGAGTCCTGGGGGGGATCTTGGGGAACTCCCATCTCTGCAGCAGGGCGTGATAGATAAGGGCTTAGGGTAGATAAGGAGCAGTGATGAATCCTTCTCTGGCTGGAAGGATCAACATCCAGATGTTGAGACACAGCCAGGTGTTGGACAGTTGGATGAAATGCCTCGTTTTCAGCCAGGCTTTTTATATCCTTCTTTGTCAGCCTCAACTACCTTGGGCTCTGAGTCCAGGAGGTTCCCCGGCTGCTCTCTGAACCTGGGAAACACTGTGTTCAGTCTGCACACAGCTCAGTAACCTCGAGACTCACCAGCTTTTCCTGGATCCTGGGACACTGTGTCCAATATACTCCTGCCGTGTTTATTTTCAATTCTGTGTGGCAGACTCTAGAGGCTGGAAACGGGCTCTAAAACCCTGGGAGTGAAAAGCAGTCCCTTCAGCCTCTGCTTAGAGCTACAGACAAGGCGACTGTGTTCCTCTGTTGTGAGTTTTGCAGAGGGAGGTGTTGAGGCAGTGAGCCCCTCTCGAGCAGCCGTGGGGAGGGGACTGTGGAGTGAGAGGGAGCATTTGCCTTTTGCACCAGCCCCAGGATGTGTGCCACTAGCCCATTCCCCCTCATCAGCACCTGCCTAGAGCAGAAGGACCCATGCAGTGGCAATGAGGGCAAGAGCAACAGATGCAGGGGAAAGACACAGGCAAACCCTACCCTGAGGGCTGGTTGCCAGTTGTGGGATAGAAGCATTGCTCCCGCTTCCCCGTGACCGGTGACATTAGGAAACATCAGCACCTGAGCACGCATGAGAGCTGTTGTCCCAGCTGTCCTGTTGACTCCTGTATCACCATCTTTATTTGGGGGGCGGGGGCAGGAAGGGCATTACACATGCATATTCAGGAGGTGAGGCCTGGGTATGCCTCGGGGTCTGGCCCCAGAAGGGATAAAAAGAAGATATTTGCTTTTAGGGCTTAGAGGTTTGGCCGAGGGGTGTTTGTACAGCTCTGCGCCCCTTCTGAGCCAGGACGGGTTGGGTCAGGGAGAGATCCTGCGGGTGCCTCTGGAGCAGTGACGGCAGCACTGCGCTCCCAGCAGATTAGAGATGCATGTTTTCAGGCCGGGCTTTGAAGGCTGCAGAGCAGACTGGAGTCCCTGAATCACCCATTCCTTCAGGGAAGACCACTTTTTATATTTGCAGTAATTGCCTCCTTAAGCACTGATAAGCTTGAAAGAAGAACCTAGCAAAGCCCAGCCTTTGTTGTGAGCTGGAGCGGCTGCTCTACTTGGCCTTGGAACAAATGGAGAAGAAGTTGGTTTGTAACAGACTTCACAAGCAAAGGAAATGGTTGCTTGGCAGCAGTACACTCAGCAGGTCTTGGGCCAGCTGAGGCGGTTCTTCCAGCAGCGGTCGGGAAACTCCAGGCCTGGGGAAGGCCCCCTTGCAGGCCAGTGCTGGTCCTGCGGAGGCTGCTGTCTTTAGAAGCCAGAAGAGCAGCTCTGTTTGTGTGTGTCAGACCTTTTTTAAGGCACAAGGAGTGATGTTGAGGTCTGGATCTTATACTGAGACAAGGGCTAGTGTTGTGGATCAGGAAGAAGGGAAGGCAGTTCTTGCTCACCAGCAAGTGGGAGCTAATTACTACCAACCTGGCTCTCAGTATCACTTAGCTGCAGCGAAGTTTTAAGGCTGCTGAGTGATGTCAGATGTTTGCAATCTGTACCCCAAAGAGCTGAGGTGGATGCAAGGTTTGGGTACAAGGCAACCTTCGGGACATGCAAGACGTCCTTTTCACAGAAGAGGACAACAAATTTGCTTGCAGCTGTGGCTGGCCAGTTTACTGGGAACAGCCTTCCATGGCACCCTGTTTTTTTCCATTATATTTTTTTATTTTAAATGCAGAAATGCCCCAGAACCTATTCTGTTGAGAGAGAGGCTGTGTAAGGGCCCAAGGCTGCTGGACCCCCATTTCTTAGCAGAGTTA